CACCGCTGAGGTGCAGCTCACCCTGCTCAGCACCAGCGATGGCTTGTTCCCAACCCTCGAGTCACAGAAGCCAGCTCTGGTTGGTGACAGCCTTCCTGCTTTCCTTGCCAAGGGCCACCAGCCCAAGTCCCTGGACGGGACACACCCAGCACTTGTTTGTGGGCAGAAGTGGGTTTGCCCCTCACCGCGTCCTTCAGAGAAGTTTGTAAGGGCAAAGCGAGCTCAGCGAGCTGCAAAGTCCCCGCAGGCCAGGGAGGGCCCGGGCACAGGCACCAACACGCAGCCACCCAGAGAGCAACGCCTCGGGCAGCTCAGTGCCCGGAGGCATCGCAGCAGGTCAGCGGGGTCTGTGCCCCTTTCCCCACAGATACGGCACAAGATGCAGCAGCCACAGAGCGAACAGATCCAACAGCCCCATTTCCTTCCCGCTCTGTGGCCCTGGCGCAGGAGAGCAAAGCCTCCTTGCGCACCAAACACCCCTGGTATGATCTAAATGATCCAGCAGGACTTGGAGCTGCCCGCCACGGTGTTTGTCAGGACACAGGCAGTGCAGCTCCCTCCGGGAACAGGGCACTTGCTCCGCAGCCAGTTCCAGCTCCCGTGAATCGGCGAGCTCAGCCCAGCAAAAGCAGCTGAAGCAGCGGCGCGTCCCAGGAGGCAGCCAGGCTGCCCCGCTTCAGAAACACGAGTTCTCAAGTTATTTTCACAGGGAGTCACATCTCGTGTCCTGCTTGCATCAGCACAGCTTTGAGGCAGCCGTGCCTGCTCCCCTTCCTTCCTACACTGTTTACTCTTCTGCCTCCTCAGTGCTCTGCAATCCAGTATCAGTCAGAATCTTGCTGCAATTCACTTTATTACTCACCGGTTGCAACCAAACAGATTCCACATTCTCACCAAACAACTTCCCCGCTGCTTATGAACTCTGTCCTGCCAGGATCAGGCCATAAACAGAGCTGTTCCTTCCTACCTGGGCAGCTCGTTTCTCAAATGCTGGTGCACCACCCAGCTAAAGCCACACCTCAGTGCAGACCACGACCCCACAGGACACAATTTTAACAGACTATGACAGCACCAAGCAGGGACAAGAGTCTGACAGAGGTGAGAGCCTCAGTGAGGCGCAGCCTCCAGCGTTGCAGGAGGATAAGCTCTCAGGGAATGAAAAAACGCCACGGCCCAGATGTCAGGGTAACCACAGAGGTGTATTAGCCACATTTCCAGCTCTGTAACACAGAGCCTCTCCCACACCGGCTCCACCGACACATCACAGCTGTCTCTCAAAACACTCCATCACAGAACCCGCCCCGGCAGCTGGGGCCCAGGCCGGGGGCCGCTCGCCCGCGGCTTCTCTCGCCTGATTTCACTTTCTCGATTTCATGGCTGTGACCACCATGCCTCCCAGCAGGGCCGCGAAGGTGAAGCCCTGGGCCAGGATACGTGCCCGCATCATCAGCTGAGACCGACGGATGTTGCCTCTCTGGAAGCTGATCAGCCCGTAGGTCAGGACGCCGACGGTGCAGAGGCAGCCTGCGGAGAAGGGCGGCTCAGCGGG